ATTCTCACACATCCAAGCTTACAGCTTCTAGTATTCACCCATCTAGGTACTAACCAGGCTTGACCTTGCTTAACTTCGGTGATCGTACGGGAACCGGTGTTTCATTGTGATATGGCCGTAAGCCAAGGAATCATTTGTAACGTTACCAAAAGGACTATTTGGGAGGAAATAATGATCAAATTATTTATATTCGGACTAATGTTCGCATCTTTGTTGTCATTACCACACTGTTTCGACCACTGTACCCTCAACCCTTCTTCAGGTGTCTGGCGATCTGGGCAACCTTCAGGGAAATTCAAACTGAAGCTTCATTTAATCTACAGGGATGCATATCTAGGTATATCTCGTTTTGATTTTTTTTTAGTAATACTTAGTTATTGCTCGTTCTGTTTCTATTGAATCTAAGTTTCTGCTACCCAGCCCAGGGATTGAACTCACAATTCTTCTTCTTCTTCTTCTTCTTCTTCTTCTTCTTCTTCTATGTGTCACCTCCTTATGGCTTATAACAGTGAGTGTTAAGTTTTCCAAGCCCTTCTTCCTCATTATGTGTCCAAGGTATTTCAGCACTCTCATCCTGATTCTGGGCATAAGTATTTTTTGCTGCCATTTTCTTTAAGACTTCCTTGCTGCTCACTCACTCCCTCTCTGAAATTCTCAATATCCTTCTGTAGAATCACACTTCTGTTGCCTCCAGATTTTTCCTCATTTTATATGGCATTCCCGGCCATATAAGAGGATGGATATCACATAGCAATCCAGCACTCTATTCTTTGCTTCTAACGAATTATTTTTCTGTTTCTCGGCACGTTGCTTAGCTTCTGGAAAACACCTTTCATTATCCAATGCGTGTTCGGATTTCGAACAGACACTAGACTAACGAAAGATGCCTTCCAAAATCTAAGCAAAGTATTGAGATATCAAATTCAGAAACCAACATTTTAACCTTAAAAAATCTGAATTTGAAAATACGAGCCTTACACCTAATGTAGTTATGGGCAATCGGTTGTTGCCACCCTGCTGTCATGCTTGACCTCCTGCGCCTCTGCTACTGCTCTTTTTTACTGTTGCTTCTGCTGTCAAGTTTGGATCCCAACATTACACTTTTTCTGTTTTTCTTCAATAATAGTTAAATTTAAATAAACGCTAGCGTGCCAAAATTTGCGTCATATGTGTTTGGCTTCACGCAGAACCCTCTATTCCGGGAAAGTATACCAATTCGACGTGACATCGATTTCACACGTGGTCGGAAGACCTCTGGAGAGATATTGCGATATAATGTCTCAGTAGCTGCCTACAGTTATCTGATATTTGTAGATGAAAGATCTTGAGTGTGAATAGACATCTCCATTACGTCTCATAAATGCTCGATTGGACAGGTGAACATGATGGTATTCGTCAGAAAATTCTAGAATGCTCCTGAAACCAATTCTTGGAAACTTGGGCAATCGATGACTCGGTGAATTAACCTGCTGGCGTAGTCCATCCTTCTTGGGGTACATGAAGTCCACGAATGATGCAGTCATCGGACAGTGATTTATTTAGCCAGACCAGCAGACTCAATCCATGCCACGTAAGCATACCCCACACCATTATTGATTGATCCAACATTAATCTTCACAGTACCTTGTTAGTCTCACGGGGTCAGCGTCCACGCGCATCCTACTATCAGTCCGAAAACGACAGAGATTCATCGAGCTACATTACCAGATCTCTGGGGTCTATTTAAAGACATCATGATCCCAGAGGAGTTTTGTGTCTGTTGTTACGGTATTAACACCGGCACATTGGAGAGTCTAATGTTCCTCTACCCTGAGACAATAAACATGTATTTTGGTTACTCAGTTGAAATAAACACGGATGTTTCTAATTTTAATTTCAAATTTAATATACCGAAAACAGTGTATTTCAAGGCAATACCTTAGGGAAATAGACAAGCTACTACTGTCCTATGTGTTTACTACTAGATATTAGGGATATGTTGGTTTAGTCGTCAGGGCGTTTGGACGGTTATCTTTCAATGTCAAGTGGATATAATTAAAATAATGATGGATAGTGGATATGGATAAGTGGATATAATAAAATAATGATGGATAGTGGATATGGAATGGATCAGTGAAAGTGGATATAATTAAAATAATGATGGATAGTGGATATGGATAAGTGGATATAGTGAAATGGTCAAGTGGATATAATTAAAATAATGATGGATAGTGGATATGGATAAGTGGATATAGTGAAATGGTCAAGTGGATATAATTAAAATAATGATGGATAGTGGATATGGATAAGTGGATATAGTGAAATGGTCAAGTGGATATAATTAAAATAATGATCAACCAAATTAGTTCGTTAATCGCAACGCCACACCAATTTCGGTGGTATTCTCTGCATTCTTCTGTAGAACTACATCTTCATTGTCTCAAGTGTCTGAACTCCACATATCATTTCTAATTACAACTTCAAGTAATTTTAAAGTTTCGGAGTTGTCGGTGTAGATAATAAGACTTATAAGTGCAACTGGCATTTATCTCGGTCGTTAGCGTCTCGGTGGGAAGAAGTTAAAGGTATTACTTGGTTATACTAAATTTTATTAGTAAGCATCAAGTTACTTTTAGGTTCGAGTCCAGCGCACATTTTGTCAATTATTTTCGACATTGTCGGTTGATTGTTTTTGTTTAGCGGCATATCAACCTTTAGGGGTTATTTAATGCCGAAATTTAAATATTTTGAACAATTTTATGGCTTCAACTAAATATATTTTGAATGCAATTTTATGCCTTCAACTAAAGAAAATGTATTGTAAGTAATTTTACTATAAATATGTATTATTGGTAATTTTTAAATATAAAAATGAATTGGTGGTATTTTTTCTGTCAAAATTTATTTTTATACTTTCATAGTGTTTTGTTTTTATTTGGGTTTCACTATTTGCCCATTGCTGGGACCTTAACAGGTGCTATCACCCCGGGTCAGGGTGGACTTTGGAACAACAGCAATTAAAAGGTGGTTCCGCAAAGCCTCCCGATTAGAGGCCTTGCTGCTGGCTGTATTTTATCGTTATACCCAGGATTTATTTTCTACGCAATATTAGTATCTCTCTATATAACCGGGTATAAATGGTCGGTATTTTAGTAGTGCCAGTATTGCTCAATTTTATGTGACTGTCACATAGAAGAAGACAGAAATTAAAGTTCCTGTAGCCAGATATTGTTTCGTAGTCTTAATCGATGTTCACAGGAGACAAGTGAACCTGTCGTGATTTTGGGGGGTTTTGGTGATGACGGGTCCTTCCATTGGTTGGTAACCGTAAATCCATGTCTTATCATCGGTGATGATGGTCTTTACGAAGTCTGTATGCAACCAGTTCTGTATGGATTAAGTATCTATCTATCTATACAGGGTGCCATGCATAAATTGCCGTGTAAATTACTCAAAAATGAAAATAATACTCATTTTAACAGATATATTTACCAAAGTTACACAAAAATATCTTGAATTATTAAAGAATAAATTTATTCAATAAAATCGCCATTTGTTTCAACCACAGCCACCAGACAACTTCGGAATCTCCTGCAACTCTTCTGGACAGTGTCCTTGTTTAAATTAGTGAATGCTGTTATGATCCTTCCCTTTAGTTCATCTTTGGTGTTAAAAGGGGTTTCCTTTGCACACAGTTTATTACAACGTTCGCCACATGCATAACAGAAATGTATTGTTAAAGATTTCCTATAGAATTTATATGTAAATATGTATTTAAAATTAGAACGATATGCAAATAATTTGCCACAGAATTGCCTTCTAAATAATTTTCTATAGAAGTGTCAATAGTTTGTTATTGATATTCAGTTATTTTTTTTTAACAAAATGAATGCTTCATAAATAATTGCAGGAACGAATTTTAATTATAAAGTCTAATCGAAGATTAATTACACTTATACTAGGTGTGTTCAAAGTATCCAGCCTTTGGGCATAAAAAATCAATTTTATACATTTCACAAAGTTTATTTAATCACCTTCAAAATACTCCGCTTTGGGTTTACACTCTTCTCCCAGCGGCTCTGCCACTGCTGGTAACACCTCTGGGATGCTATGATGCATTTCCCTCTCGCAATTCAAATTGCTTTCCTAAAGAGTGGTTTTCAGATTGTGGAAGAGCTAATAGTCATACAGTGCCAAGTCAGGAGAGAAGGGAGCCTGTCGAACAAGGTGTGTGTTGTTATTGACCAGGAAAGCTTGGATTATGCGCGCGGAATGTGAGGGCGCATTGTCGTGGGGCAAGTTGCCAGTTCTTCGCATGTCCGCCCATTTTCGGCGCACATCATCACGAAGGCGTCGAATAACCTCCAGGTAGTGGTCCTTATTGATTGTTTGCGTATTCATGATGCATAGTACCACAGGAGTCACAGAAACTGGTCGATATTACCTTCACATTGCTGCGAACCTGTCGTGATTTTGCGGGGGGGGGTCTTGGTGATGACCGGTGCTTTCATTGGGAGAACTGGAACTTGGGTAACCGTAAACCCATGTCTCATCATCAGTGATGATGGTCTTTATGAAGCCTCGGTGGTGATTTCCACGTGGAGTTGTTTCTCTTCCGCCAGCTTCCTTGGAAACGAATTTCGCCGATACTTTTCGTATACACAAATCCACCGTAAAAATGGAATCAACTGATCCGGTCCTTTTTCCCACGTAGTGAACAATTTCCTAGATTATGACACGACGGTCGTCCATAACTATTCAACAGACCTTCTCAATCGGCTCCTCGTTTTGGCTTTTGGATTGCTTGCTTGAGCAAACCTCGCTCTTCACTGACTTTAATATAGTCTAATGTTAGATTTCATGTTTGGAGTCTACAATTAGTGCTTATTTCGTAGAGTGTAAATACGATGTCTGGTAATAATATAATAGATTAATCAAATCCTCTGACCCTGATGAGCGCTTTTAGAAACTGTCAAATGATAGGGTGCTTGATTGTTGCTTTAGTTCCATATTGAGCACATTTTTTGACAAAAAAATCCACTGGCTTTAAAAATACGTTAGATTCTAATCATTTTTTTACGGATTTTAATTCGTGTCATTGATTTTTATAATTATTAGAAATGTATTATAGATAAGCCATTGTTAACTATCATAGAAATGTATCCAAAATAATTTGCGAATGTGTTGGATTACCGCCCCTTGGTGATAATCCCATGAGGCAAGATTGTGAATTACCGCCCCACTGACGATAATAACAGACGGCGCGAGACTTGAAAGAATCCTTCTCCACCAGTAAAGCCTGATGGGGGAACCGATTTAGTCACCGATGACCCGACCGTGTGACAAGTAGTACTGGGTTACACGGTCCCAGTGAAAACTCGTGGACTGAGGACCTGATATAATTGACAATAAGATGTAGGTCAAAATATATGCAAGAGGATGCTGAAAAGTTCTCGGCTTAATCCACTCCTGAAAATATGAATAAACGACCAAACATTTGTCGTTGATAAATCACTTTTAATCGAGCTCTGAACTTTTCAGCATCTCTTGTGCAATTACAATCGACGATGCAAGGAAAAGGAATTGGGTCAGATGAGGAAGAAGGGTTTGGAAAACTTGTCACTCACCGTGTATTCCAGTTGATTTGCTGCTGCTCAGAGAGATGTTGGTATTTTGGACAAATAAGAGATGAAAGTTTGGGACTGGCATATTTATAGATGATCATGAACGCCACAAAACTTCCAAAGGCGACAGGTAGGTAAGTCGTATCCAGAACTCCCGTCGTCGTCATGTTGGCCGCATCACAATCTTTCTCCCTGTCACGCACACAGAGGTCAGTTGGCACTCAGCTAAATACAAAGAAAAAAGAAAAGAAAAGATTAATTACGATATTTAATTAGTATTTTTTTTCAATACTCACTCAGCATAAGCCCCACAACTTATAGGGTTACTGTTAAAATTTTCATGAGGAATGAGGTGGGTGATTTGAATGAAAAAGGTGATGGTAAGAAATGAAAAAGACAAGGAGAGCAGATAACGATTGACCTTTGACCAGAGGAGGTCATGGTTAAAGAATTCAGAGAGAATGGCTTGTTAATTTTAATGCCTTCAAGACGAAACTGCTCATTGTTAATCATCTGCGAGACCACTTTCTACCTTCCATCAGTATGGCTGATGCTAACCTCCAGAAGAGTGGCTCATTGTGCCTTCTTGGACTAGCGATTACTGCTGACAAGTGGAAAGATTATATGGAATCAATTGCTAGGCCAGGAAAGTAGATAAGAAAAATAACCTATTCACCCACAGTTCCACAGGTGAGAAGTGTGGGAGAAGAAACTCTTAGTATAGAGCTTAGGTTAGATCTAATCATTTCAGTTGGAAGATGATGAGACCTAGCCGCCAATCTAGTACTGCGCATAAAGTCTAGCTACCAAAGAGGAAAGCTCATCAGAACAATTGCCATGAAAATATTTATAGAAAAGCCGGTGGAGAAATTCGAGAGGGGAATTAACAGGAGATAACTGATAACTGACATCCATTTGACATTTCACGTGGAACTAGAACAGTCTACTCCAGTGAGCGAAATAAAGGGTTCAGTTCGACATTCCAACCACCTGAAGAAGGCCGAAATGTTGTGATGAATATGTCGACAAAGATGAGGACAATAGTCCGAATAATGTAAATAGTGTATCCAGAACCGAACAGATCCCAGTGATAGGAAACGTGAATTTAGCATTGTGAATTTAGTATATATATTTTATAATGACAATTTACGAGCAATAAACAATGAAGGGTGCTTTGTATGTTTGAGCGAATATTAGTCACTAATATGTTGCAGGAATCAACACTTTGGAGAGTAAATATTTACGGGCTCCACCCCGACAAACAATATTAGAGGACTCAATGTGAGTCCAAGTAAAAATGAGTAAAACAAAACAATAAATATAAAACAAACAACACTGCAGGTTGTTATGAATAATCAAGAGTGGTCTCCTCTTGTTTTGTCACTCTCCTCTTTGAGAGAGCTATTTCTATTTATTGGGACTATAAAAGGACACTATACGTGAACCTTGTATTCTCAGTTGAATAAAGCTTTCTGCTTCGGCCTTGTGCCACAATTTTGTATTTTTATACAGAATATATATATATATATATATATATATATATATATATATATATATTAAGCATTACGCCCCGAGCAAGGCGTGAAGCCACTAGGATGCAGGGGGTTGCAGAAGATTTGGAGCGAGAGCAGAGAGGAGTGATAGAAGAAAGGATGAGGAGAAGGATAGTGGGTAGATCAAGGTAACTGGAGGTGTCGATTGACATTACATTTGAATAGTTGGAGATTATAGCTCTCAGGGAAACAGTAATTGGGAAGGGTGTTCCACAGGCGAGAGGTGCGAGGTAGGCAGGAGTAAATTGTAGTGTCGTCCATTTAGATGCCAACAGTGGAATCTATGGGGATCAGGAAGGTCGTTGATGAAAATAAGGGAACCAGTGGGGCCAAGGATGGAGCCTTACCAGGAACACCTAAAAAGTTCGTGGGAGAAGCGCGTCTGTGAGAGAATCCGTTGAGAACGACCTTCAATTCACGGTTTGAATGTCGTTCGCAACGGATTCTCCTCCAGTTGAATAAAACTTTCTTAAAGCCTACACCTGCATACTTTTGTCATTATACAGGTATTAATAAAATTAATTACAGGTGTAGACAATTGTAACGAAAGGAAATAACATTATAACAAGTTATAAGAAGGATGTGCTTGTGTGTATATGTGTGTGTGTTTAACAAGCATGTGTGATAGACACGTATGTGTATATATGTGCGTGATAGACACGTGTTCGTATATGCGTGTACTATAGACAGGTATGTGTATATGCGCATGTGAGAGAGTTCAAACGTCAAAGGTGGACCAAAGAAGCAAACGCGCCTCATCGGCAACGATTCTATCTACGTGTTACTACATGCTGAAAGCCAGAGTTTAAAAGGGGTGAAAAGAGGGTGAGTGAGAATATAATTGTGCCTATTTATAGGCTTAAAGAGAGCCCCTCCCCAACCTTAGCGGCGTTTTGGCAAAGCCAATGGATAGACGCACGGATTGAAGAATCGGAGAGCCGAGTTCGAATTCCAGTCAAATTCATTACGTTCACTTACGTGCTAATACCCTTGGGAAAAGTATGAATTCTCTTCTTCTCCCTCTAGCTATGGGTAAATAGCAGGACAGACCAGGTTCTATAGCCTTGGATAGCAACTGGTCTTAAGCAGAAGAAAATCTTTGGAAAGTCATGTATCGAAAGATACGTCAGTCTGACGACGTTGCCATTAGGTGATCATGTACCGAAAGATACATGATCACCTAAGCGTGTATTACGCATGGCACATAACTGAGTGAAGTGGGATAACCCCCAAAGGTAATCCGGAAAACATATGTTTAAAGATGATTTCATATTGATTCAGCTTCAAAACATCACATTTTATCCTTTGCAATTTTAGAGAAGGTTTTATTCGGATTATTTGCCAATACACACCGTTAGATGTCTAAAAGAATATTTAAAAGACTGTATTACGATGGTAAAATTGTCAGCAGGTTTTTTCTAAAATATAAATTAAAGGCTTATGAAAATAAAGTTACTTTTTGCCGGCGACGTAAGTAGTCAATATCTTGAGAATTGTAGCTGATTGTGTTAAAGGAAATCATTGACCGGGCCACATTTACGAGAGTCTCAAAATATCGTTCTTTTGAAAATACTTAATAGCCAGTAATCTAAAATCATTCAATGATTACTACAGACCTTTTTACTTCTTGTGGAAGCCTTAAAATAGTTTTCATGTCTCAGTAGGAACATATATAGCATTATTAATAATTATCTCTTTTATATTTTTATCCTAGTCCATGTGGTAAACATAATATATGGACACAGTGCATGAGTCCTGTATCCGAGTGAGTCAATCAATGATACATGAATCTGTTACATACGGGTCTTGAGCAGTGAAGGCGGTTTCGCATTGTCGCCATACAGACATCGGTAAATTCATTTTCTATGATTATTAGAATTTTAAATAATAAAAGAGGTTGAAGGCTTTATTATAATAACCAAGGATTTTACAAAAATATTCCGTACGTGTCTAGAAAAGTTCTTCTTCCTCTTCTTCTTCTTCTTCCTCTTCTTCTTCTTCTTCCTCTTCTTCTTCCTCCTCTTCTTCTTCTTCTTCTTCTTCTTTACTTAAAGTGCAACTTCAGGTAATGATTATGAAGAGTTAAAATCATAAGTTTTCGATGACCTGTTGCAATATACACAGGTAATTTTTTTTCTAGAGGAGTGAAAATTCACACAAACAAAAAACAGGACTTGTTGTATGCATGAAGTCGAGTATATACGGTATATGTGAATTGCTGTGAATTTTAGGGCAAGATAGTGGAGTAGTAACCCGTTGCTTTCTCCGCAGGTTTGAATTCAGATTTGTCCGTATCCTAGACTGACTATTACCAACCTTAAAGAGACGAGTCTGCGCTGTGATTAATCCATGATTGGAGGTAGAAGACATGGTTTCATGCCTTTTTATAAGAGTATTATTACAAAGAACTCAGAACAGACTAGGCCGGAATTTGAACTTGTTTCATTGATTTCACTTTGGCTCCTATATCCACTGCAATATTAAATATCCCAACTCTGTTGGCTTCTAGAAGATAATGATTGTATATTCCAAGAAACCTGGAAATTATCTTTAGCAATCATTCTGGTTCTAATTACTCATACTCTTGCAACATTCAAAATGTTTTGGTGATGGTGTGAATAAACATCGAAATATTAACAAAACTATCCACGAAATGCGTTACGCCAACTGAGAAGAATATGTCTACTCGCCATGAAAATTAGCATTTCAGATTTTAACATTTAATTTTCCAAAAAGAAACCAGAAATATTATTAACAATTGAAAGGAGCCAGTTGTGTTATGGCCGATGATATTGACTTGCTCGTTAAATAAGAACAATATAACGTCATTTCCATGCGCCCATTGCTTGGCTGGAGTGAAAGAAGAAAAGAAAACGTGTTACCCAAATTACAGCTGAAAACATTTCAGCAGTGTTGTTGTCTAAAAAGGTCAGGTCAGAGACGTTGTCTTCTTTAATCAATTCTGTATGGATTAAGTATCTAGTTTAGCATTCTATCATAAATATCTATCTATCTATCTATCTATCTATCTATCTATTTTTAATTCCCATGTTATCTATCTATGAATATCTATCTATCTATCTATCTATTCATCTATCTATCTATCTATCTATCTTGTTATATATCCATCTATCTATCTATCTATATATCTATCTATCTATCTATCTATCATATCTATATTAAATTTAATCTATCTACCTATCAATTTAAATCTATATCTAAAATCCAAAACGATTTTTCAATTTTAAATATTACTAATTCCCATCTATCTATCTATCTATCTATATATCTATATATCTATATATATATATAGTTACTAATTCCCATTATCTATCTATCTATCTATCTATCTATCTATCTATCTAAACAATATAATTCTATGAATCTATCTAGTCTCATTTTACCATTCATCATCTATCTATCTATCTATCATTATCTATCTATTTATATCTATCTAGTTACTAATTTATACATTATATTCATCAGATATCATCTATCTATCTATCTATCTATCTATCTATCTATCTATACCGTCTACAAAACCCATCTATCTATCTATAATTCATATCTATGTTTATTTATCTATCTATCTATCTATCAATCTAGTTAAGTTA